GGCTACCCCAAGACAGCTTTGGTCTTTACACTTGGCTATGTTTTTTTGTACTTGATTGGCTCAAACCATTCCTCGCTGTTCCTTGCATTTTAAACCTTGATCACAGGATGTTCCGTTGTCTGGTTAGAGATTAAAACTCTAGTGGTGTGTGTCTGCACACCTTGGTTTCTTACAATGCTTCCTAGCAGGCGGGGGTGTCCTTTAGCTGCAGAGATGTCCATGATCAACTCTGCCAGGGAGTCTGGGCCTGCAGGTGTGGAGTACAGCACTGAGGTAAAGTATGGCCAAAAAACTGGAGCCAAAGAAAACTTGGTTCCCTTCTCTGTCTTGAGGTCCAGACAACCCTCAACAGCATCTTGTGAACAGCTGCATGGCCCCACAGTACACTGGGTACCAAACTTACAAGGGTCTCTCAGTTTCAGTATGTGGAGCCGATTTTGGTCCCTCTTCTGCATACTTATCCATATTGGTGGCCAAAGCTCTATCCTTCACACTCAGCATGAAGCTTGTGTCTCTTGCTGTGCTTTTTCTCAGTGAGCAAGAAGGCTGGGCATGGTGGCTCACACCTATAATCTCATCTGGGAGGCCAGTGTGGATCAGGAAATAAAAGCCTATCAACCCCCCCCCCCTCAAAATCTGAGGCACAGGTTCAGCCAGTCTATTTTTTTAAATAGGAATGTTAGAAAACATTCTAAAATGTATGGTGGAATGAGAATACCTTAATTGGGGTTAGCAAAGGTTGAAAGATAACAAAATTTGGTTAATCAGGACTGAAGAGGAGTGGTAGAATTACATTGAGCTTCTAAATAGGCACAAGGTGAGACTAAAGAACAAAGCATCCTGAGTTAGGATTCTTAGAGCTTACTCCCAAAACATGTTTTATAATGTTGATCATCCAGTTTGTTATTTTGAAAATCCTTAAAAGGTAACATGAAGTATTTTCAAATCGCATGTTCAACAAAGGACTTGTATGCACTCCTAGAGCTCAGACAGTCCTATTAAACTAAGAGTAATAGCTATACACTGTTACTTGAAAAGTGTGAAACTGCCTTATCTGTCAGCTGGGGGAGACTGGCAGTTTTGTCTGAAGTTAAAAATTACAAATGTATCTTAGCCATTCAACTCTTTTAAGTAGTTACAAAGCCTGTGCATATTTTTATGACAGCTAAGAATTGGAAGTCTACAGAAGAGACAGCTAAATTGTGATCCATCCAAAAATGGCATACTACCTAACCATAAAAACTATTGTTGGGACTGGAGAAATGGGTCAGTTTAAGATAATGTACCTTTTGTACCGGAGTTCACACCCATCTCCCATAGAACATAACTCCAGCTCAAGGATAATCTGAGACTTTTCTGGCCTCTAGAGGCATCACACTCAAGGTGCACAAATCCACACACACGTATGTGTGACTTTTAAGACATTGGTGTTAACATGCAGCAGCTTTTATGAATCTCAAGAGTACAAAAAGGCAATTTCAAAAGGTTACATCCTATATGTTGTCATTTATTTTACTGGAAGATTACCCTATGGAGACGCTGTCAACAGGGATGAGAAGGAGCAGAGCCCCACTGAAGCCCTCTAGCTGTTGTGTTTGCCTCTGCCCCTGAGAGTGCCTGGAAGATGTGCCCCCCTCTATGGCTGGCCAGAAGGTTCCTTTGTAGTTTCATGTCTTGATTATGCAGGGGTTAACAAAACTGAATAGTGTTATATCCAATCATTGGGGAATATGCTTGGCAGTTTAATCCCAACTCAGGAGGCCGAAGCAGGTGGGTTTCTGATTTCAAGGTCAGCCTGGTCTACAGAGGGTCAGCCAGGGTTACAGAGAAAGACTGCCTTGTGGGGGCGGGGAAGAAAAAAACAGTTGTGAATGAGTAGTTAATCTAGCCCGTTATTAATCTGTTAGGTCTTTTTGTCAAGTTCAGAGCACAAAGAACCCCCACCCCCAAGTTCCTGCTGCAAAGGGATGTCAGAAACCATTTGACACTTAAGTCTTTTGAGAAGCAGTTTCTAATGTCTGGGAGATTTTATTTTTTCATAGATGCTCCAGTTGCTCCAAGGTAATCTTCTCCTGACTTTCTCCACTTGTAACCATTGGTCTTTTTTGTAGTATGTTGTATCTGTCTTAAAGATAGTCCCCCCCCCCCTTTTCTTCTTTTTTTACTTCCTAAATACTGGGGTTACAGGCTTGCAACCACACCATTTTTAAACTGGTCACTTTGCACTGTCTTGCTCAGGAACAATTGCTCCTATCTGGCCACCTCATCTCAAACTGGAAATACTTGAAACATAGGAATTTGCTCAAGCAGTTGCACTGCTGAGCTCAGAACAGTTGTTGGTCCTCTAATGACTTTGTTGCTGAGGAAAATCAAACCATTGCTAAGCAGTGGGCACTGCTTTACAAGTAGAATAGCCACTTAGCCAGTGCAGGCCTAGCTCCATGCTGGGTATTAAGAGTTTCTGTTTGGTGTCTGAGGGAAAGTAAGGTATACACATACGATCAATAAAAAGTTTGTTTTTATATGAAAATACTGAAACGTTCAGAAAATTTCTGTTAACAGCATTTTAGATGTTGCTTTTATCTTTCATTTTTAATAGAATTGCATGGTTCTAACTTCACAAACTATCTTTTATTTATTATTTGTTGTTGAAAATTTGTTTTTGTTTTCTCGGTGTAACAGTCCTGGCTGTCCTGGAACTTGCTTTGTAGACCAGGCTGTCCTTGAACTCACTGAGATCCTCCTGCCTTTTTTGCTGGGATTAAAGGCGTGTACCACTACCACCCAGTGAAAATAATTTTTTATACAACATATACAACATTTTCCCCTCCATTATATTTTCCTGTATTCTCCCAACTACCTCACCCACCCAATTCCATGCTTGTTTTCTCTCTCTCTTGAGGAAACAGGCCAATTTAAAAAAAAAAAATCACTGGAAATCAGAATATAACAAACCAAAGAAAGAGACAAAAAGAGTTTTAAAAAAAAAAAGCTCTAGAAACAGATGCACAGTGCAGAGACAGATACACAATTTCACAAAACGTGTAGAAACACAAACTCAGAAATCATAATAACAGACAAGATAGAAAATGCCCAGAAAAAGCATTAGAGCATTATGAAACCAAATACATCTCCAAACTTATCACTGAGTTCATTTTGTGTCGGCCATCTACTGCTGGGCACAGGGCCATCAGTGAGTGTGGTTTGTATACCTGTGAGACTCCATTGGGGAAAACTAATTTTCTTTTGCAAGTATTCTCAGGGAGAGGGCTCATGTTTCCTTGCCCTCTGGGCATCCCATCTGACTTGCACCTGTGCATACACTGCCATAGTCTCTAAGTTCCTATGTGTGTCAGTCTTGTTCTGTGTTGAAGAACACTGTTTGCCTGGTGTCCTCCACCCCCTCTGGCTCTTACAATCTTTCTCCATCCTCTTCAGTTCACTGAATCCTGAGGGGAAGGATTTGATGAAGACATCCCATTTAGGAGTGAGTGTTCCAAGTCTCTACATTCCGGTTGTGGGTCTCTGTATTTGTTCCCATATCCTGCAGGAAGAAGCTTCTCTGATAATGTCTGGACAGGACATTGATCTATGGGTAGCAGAATATCATTGGGAGTCACCTTATTGCTGCATTCCTTTAGTAGAATAGTAGCACTCACCTGAACAGCAGTGGGTCTGCCCCATTTAGACAGTGTTTCATTCCAGTCACAACTGAACACAGCGTGGGAACTTGCTGAAGCATGTCTTAGCCTTTAACACCTGATTTGGAAATGGGTCTTCCTTGTTTATCCAGTCTCCACATTATTGTTTGAGGCAGGGTCTCTCACTGAACCAGGAAGCTCATTAATTGGCCAGAGAGCCAGAGACCATCTGTCTCTGCCTTTGCAGCACTGGGGTTACAGTTGTGTGCCATTACACCCAGCTGTTGCTTCTGGGGACCTGGACTAAGGTCCTCATGCTTGCACAGTGGACATTTTATGTCCCGGTCTTTCCCTCAGCCCCACTCAAGACTCTTAAGTCTTACTAGATGATTCTGTTCATTCTGTATTTTGCACATTGCATATGTATTTCCCATTACTGTACTCCTTTGCCTCTTGGCCATAGTGTGCACACTTAAGGGGTATAGGACCATCCTGATGCCATATGAATTTTCTGATTATGTGTGCATGTACATGTGTGTAAGTGCACATATTATTTTCTAGAAATATGTTCTTAATTTATCTTTAGATTTTTAAAAGTCATTTAGAAACTACTATGTAATTCTGTTTAACTGTGAGCAAGACTTAACAATAGTAAATTTTCATTTTATTTTCTAAGAGATTTTTTAACGTGAGTATTTTGCCTTAATGTGTGTATGTACACCATATGTGTGCAGTGCCCATGGAAAGCAGAAGAATGTGCTGGATTCCCTAGAGCTAGAGTGTGTTGGTTACTTTTCTATGGTTAGGTCAAATTCACAATGAAGAGTCACATGGGGCAGAGGCAGGCGGATCTCTGTGAGTTCGAGACCAGCCTGGTCTACAGAGCTAGTTCCAGGACAGGCTCCAAAGCCACAGAGAAACCCTGTCTCGAAAAACAAAAAAAATAAAAAAATAAAAATAAAAAATAAAGAGTCACATGGGGAGGAAAGGGTTTACTTCATCTTGCACTTCAAGTGGCGTCCATTCCTGAGGGAGGTTGAGGCAGACACTCATGCAGGAACTTGAAGGCAGGAACTGAAGTGTAACTCACACAAGGGGTACTATTTCCCACCTCAATCATCCTGCCTTCTCATGCAACCCAAGACCATCTGCCTAGGCTAGCACCAATGGGCTGGGCTTTCCCACATCAGTCATTAATCAAGAAAATGTTCCACATGCTTACCTAAGGGCCAATATGGAGACATTTTCCCAGTTGTGTTCCCTTCTCAGATAATTCTAGCTTGTGTCAAGTTTACAAAACAAACAAACAAAAAAACAAAACAGCCAGGACGTGGCGATAAAGCTGGTTGTAGACCTCTGCATGGTTGATGGTAACCAAACCTGGGTCCTCTGCCACGGCAGCAAGTGCTTTTAACAAATGTGCCATCCCTCCTGCTCCCAAATTTTCCACTTTAATCACAGTTGCAAACAGAGTCTAGTTGAATGTAGTTTCATATCACTTATAAAATGTTCCCACAATGGTGAGGGTCTGTGGGTGATGACTTAGTCTCATCTGCACCGCTATCCATACACCAGACATTGGTACCTCATACACAAGAGTGGTTTACTCAGCTCACAGCTCTAGAGATTGAAGAGCAGGACACTGGCACTTGACTAACCTTGGTGAGATCACAGTGGAATGCATCTCACCAGAGGGAGTACGTACAAGTGAGAGATCCTACTCAGGGGAGTATAGGGTCCAGAGAACAATTTTCAAGAGAACTAATGTATCCCTAAAGTTCTGCCTGGCCCGATCCTATGGGACAGCGTTAATCCATTCACGGGGGGTGGAGCCTGACATAGTTACTTTCCACTAGGTCTGTGGTGATTGGGCTAAGAATGGCCCCCCATAGGCTCAGATGTTTGAATTCTTAGTTAGCGGGGAAAGATTAGGCAGGTGGTGTGGCCTTGGTGGAAGCAGTGTGTCACTGGGAGTGGATTCTGAGGATTCAAAGGCCCAAGCCAGGTCCAGTGGCTCTCTCCCTGTTGCCCGCTGATCCTGACACAGAACTCTCTGCTCCACTCCTTAGCACCATGTTCTGCCTGAGTGCTGCCGTGTACCCTACCATGATGAAAGCTGACCAATTATGTGTTTTTAAAAATAAGAGTTGCCATGGTCATGGTGTCTCCTCACCGCAACTAGGTTCCACCTCAACATCACTAGGTTCCACCTCACTAGGTTCCACCTCAACATCACTTCCAACTTCCCAGCCCGTGAATGAGCCTATGCGAACAAACAGTATTACTGATCCATCCCATGGAACCTGTAAAGTGCACCTGCCCATTCTGGTTTGGTTTGGTTGCACTTATTGGCTTGATTTTAGTATTGTAAATAACAGTGGCCTATGACACTACTCCTGCCTCAGCCTCTTAAGTGCTGGTATTATAGATACTGATAGCCTCACTGTAGGTGTAGGTGAAAACCCATTGACGATGCCCTATTGGATTCTATTCATGGCTACTTTTTAAATGTTCTTGGCCTTTCTGTCTCTGATCAAATTTCTGTCTTTTAAACCTACATCCCCTGGCTTGGTGATTACCTATGCAATTCAAATATCCAACGGCTACTTACTGAGTGCTGAGGTACTTATGATGCAAAGCCGGGCAATGGTAGTTACTAGATGCGCAGATTTGCTGGGCTACAGTTCCCTGTTAGCACTTCAGACTGCCTCTGTTAACAGCTTTATTGGTAACTAGTTGTGGCTTCCTGAAGCCACGTAACAACTTTGAAAGGAATCCAAGAAAGCACCATAGCACTATAGGTTTATTATTATACAGACTAATTAGAACACACAAAGGACTGGCACTGAAGGGCACTGGCAACATGACCACTAGATGTCGCCACGGACACCATAAATGGTAAAGCAAGGGCTTGCCATAAAGCAAGTACACTGTTCTAAAAGAACACGACCAAACTGAAGAGAAAAAAATGTAAAAACACTTACTAATATACCCTAAAAAATACTGATATATAATGTGAGCATGTTATCTTACACCTGTAATCCGAGACTTTGGAGGCCGAGGCAGGAGAATTACTGTGGATTTGAAGCCAGCATAGGTTACATACTGATTTCCAGGCTTCCTAGCACTACAGTGTGAGACCTTGTATTAAAAACAACAAAACTCAGATGCAGAGGGGCAGATTCAGATTTGTCCATGAGAGCAACCAGGGCCGTGGGCACAAGAACAGTTAAGTACTGACTAAATAGTAGTGGCCGTCAACGCACTGGCCTGCAGAAACAAGGTCATGACATGGTTTCTGAAGTGGAAGGAACTAATGTGCCTGGTCACTTTCAGGTCTCTGTTCCTTGGAGTTGGAAATCTGTCTGTATCACAAACCAGCACATACCCACCCTACTTCCACAGACACATGCATTGCCTAAATAGTTTTATACACATTTATACACAGACCACATACATACAGCCATGCTGCTTGAAGACAGCTCAGTCAGTGAGAAAGCCACATACACGACAGCATCTGCAGCTTAACCTTGTGTGCAGCGGCTGTACCATCTCCTAATGAGACCCACCCATGGATGAAGCCCCTCTGTAGTGATAAGAGCGGCGAGGCTGAGTCCCTGGCACCCGGCCACCCGCATGGCCAGCTTATGCCCGAAATAATTACACGGAAACTGTATTCTTTTAAACATTGCCTGGCCCGTTATCTGTAGCCTCTTACTGGCTAGCTCTTACATATTAGTCTAACCCATTTCTAATAATCTGTGTAGCTCCACGAGCTGGCTTACCAGGAAAGATCTTAACCTGCGTCTGTCTGGAGTGGGAGAATCATGGCGACTCTCTGATTCAGCTTCTTTTTCCCAGCATTCTCTTCTGTCTACTCCGCCTACTTAATTTTCTGTCCTATGAGGGCCAAGGCAGTTTCTTTATTAGTTAACCAATGAAAGCAACAGATAAGATACAAGACCCACCTCCATCACCCCTAGTGATGCACTGTTTTCCAGGACAAATCCCAACACTGAGGACCAATGACTGGCTGAAAGCAAAGTTCACAAAATAACAAAACTTTCACCATGTGAAATACAGCTAATGTTTTCTGTTTAATGTGGTCTTTATTTTTTTTAATAATAACCAGCAAACTGATTTTACTGGATTAAATATATTTTCAGGCATTTGACACATCAGAAAACAGAGGCTCCGAGAGCCTTGATGCTCTGCCTTAGGTGACTCAGGAGACGCTAGCAGGCTTTGCTTAGGACGCCCCAGATAAGACCCGAACCATGTCCTTGCTACTTAGCCAGCCACTTGCCATCCTCCACTCTATCATGCAATGATGAAAATCCTGACAAACCTCTGTGAGAGAGCTGCATGGAGCCCCAGAACTGTAAAAGTACTTTTTCTCTAAAAACACAACGCGTTGCTTTAACATCTCCTATCCTTTCAGTTGCTCTCTGGCACAGCGCCGGTAGGCAGGCAGCTTTATCCCTGTCTACATTCCTCACTACTGTTCCTGACCTGACAGAGGATGTGTCTTTCATCAGTCTACTCACATTTCTTTGCTTCAAAACCTTCCTGTTTCCCAGCCTTGACTACCGCGTGTATCGTGTAGTGTCTCCACTGGACTGCAGCATCTTCCCGTCATGCATCCCAGCACCTAGCTCTGAGTTCAGCCTGTACGAGGAACTTGACCCATGTAAGAATGCCAGGTGAGAAGGCGGAGATGGCTTAGGGGTTAAGAGTGTTTTCCGCTGCCTCACATTGGTGGGACACACTTTCAATCCCAGCACTCTGGAGGCAGAGGCTGGTGGACCTTTCATGGCCAGCCTGGTTTATAGAGCAAATTCCAGACAGCCAGGGCTACACAAAGACACTGTGTCTCAAAAAATGATAGAGCAAATAAAAGAGCATTTATTGTTCCTGCAGAGGGCCTCAGGTTACGTTTCCAGAATTCATATCAGTCAGCTCACAACTGTCATTCCAATTCCAGGGAATCCAATACCCTTTGGCTCCAGCAAGTACTTGCACACATTTGTGCACATATATACATAATGAAACATGAATACACATAAAGTATATTTTTAAAAAATTCCAGATGAGAGCCGCAGTGGTAAATCACTTCCCTAGCATATGCAAGGCCATGGCAATACCTAGCATTGGAGGGACAGGATGGACATTCCCATATGATACAAGTAGGATAAATATCTCCAAGAATTTTTCCTTATTCTTGATTTAACTTCAACTTAAAAGACTCACTGGAACATCACTGTGGATTAAGCGAAGGATGTTTTTACAGAGCAGAGTCCCACATCCTGCTACCTCAGGAGCATGGAGACAGCTGACGCTATCACGGACAGAAAAGTGAGAAAACCCCATTTTGTTCGGATCATAACCTGCTCCGTTTTTCCCACTGGCTGGAGAATCTCCACTGTGAACTGGTGAACCCCATCTTCACTGCAGACCAGAGAACCCCATCCCCACTGCAGGCAGGAGCCTTTCTTGATCCATCATGTTAACAAGAGAGGCAAAGGCCCCTTTTTCCTTTTCTTTCTTTTCTCTCTTCTCTCTCTGTCTCTGTCTGTCTCTGTCTCTCTGTCTCTCTGTCTCTGTCTCTCTCTCTCTTCCACACACATATTCACCATGTAGTCCTAGCCAGTAGTTTGCTATATAAGTCAGACTGGCCTCAAATTCAGAGATCTGCCAGCCTCTGCCTCCTGAGTGCTAGAAGACCCCTACTTTTTAATAGAAAAAAAAGTTTTCCATACAATATATTCTGATCACGATTTCCTCTCCCCTAACTCTTCAAAACCCGCCTAACTCCATGCCCTTTCTTTCTCAATATATTTACTAATTTTATTTTCTATTTTTACATACAGACTATATTTTTGTTGGATGATTCCTGGAATTTAATGGCTGGACCCAAAATAGTGTCCTCACCTTCAACGACTTATGATAGAAAATGAACAAGGGGGGGGGGGTCAAAGTGAATGGGTGACCACTGAAAGCTCCTGGTAAGTCAGGTCTTGGGGCACAGACCTGTAGTGCCAGCTACTAGGGAGGCTGGCACAAGAGGATCAAGAGTTTAGGACCTGCCTGTGCAACCCTTCTCAAAATAAAGAGTAAAAAAGAAGCTAAGAAGAGCTTGCTTAACATGTGCAAGGCCCTAGGTTTAATCCCCAGTACTGACAGAACCAAATCCAAACCTAAACTAGGCCTGAGCTGGTAGGTTAACATCTCAGAGCTTGTTAGCAAAGAAGAACTAGTATTTCCAGGAAAGTGCGTTATTCAGAATACCCCCCCACCCCCCGCCACACACACACTACATACACACAAGGATAGGTTTGGGAAATGATCTGATGAGAATTTTGTTCACATTAGGGAGATAAGATGTGAACTTATCTTGCAGATGTGGACTGCAGCGCTTTTATAGATTTCCACGCCTCCCCAGAGGAGTACTATCTCACCCTAAGTACAGATCCCACTCCCACTAAGCCATCTCTGGCTCTGATTTTCTTGCAGTGACAAAACTTCTGAAACTGATTCATAATGGAACAGGTTTATTTTGACTCCTGGTTCTGGAGGCTGGAAAGCTCAAGGTTGGTCAGCTGCACTTGGCCAACACCTTCTGCTGCTTTAACGCACTGCGGAAAGCAGGTATGTGAGGAAGCACAGGTGGGGTAAGGGGCGGGCCTATTGTCTTAGTTACTATTCTGTTGTTGGGAGGGGAGTCTGTTTTAGTTAGGCCATGCTTACTTTCTATGAACTTATGGGGACCATTTTCTTTCAAAGCACCACACTTCACTCCCTGGTCCCTACAGGCTTGTATGCATATCATAATGCAAAAAAACATTCAGTTCAACTGCAAAAGTCCCCACAGTCTATCAGTCTCAGCAATGTTTAAAAGTCTAAAGTTCAAAAGTCTCTTCTGAGACTCATGACAATCTCTAAACTGTAGTCCCTATAAAATCAAAATAAAAAAGCAAATCATATACTTCCAACATATAATGACATAGGATATAAATTGGGAGGGGAAGAGTCATAATGAGGAAATACTGGACCAAAGCAAGAGCAAAAACCAGCTGGGCAACTCCAAACTGTGCCTCTCCATATCTGATGTTAAAGCACTCTTCAGATCTGCAACTTCCGTTCAGCTTTGTTGACTGGACACACTTCTTTCCCTTGAGCTGGACCCCTCCCTGTTAGCAGCTTTCCTCAGCAGGTATCCCTCAGCTCTGACATCTTCAACATTTTGGGTTCTCCAAGGCAATCCAGGCTTGCCTGGATTTTACAGACTCATGCAATGGCCTCTCTGGGTCTCCATGCAGGAACACCCCTGCCCCGTGCCTGGTCAGCAGCTTTCCTTAGTCGTGGAGGTAGATTTCATAAACTCTTTCTCGAATCCTTGACTCTAAAACCAGAACCTAAGATATCAAGTTCTGCTGTTTGCTGGGGCTGGAATGTGGCCCTTTCATTCAAATACATTTTCACCAGTTTTCTGCATTTTGATGGTTTCCTTCACTGTCTAAGCTTGGTTGTCCTCGAACTGTTCTCAATCTGTAGACCAGGCTGGCCTTGAACTCAGAAATCTGCCTGCTATTGCCTCCCAAATGCTGGGGTAAAGGTTATGGCCACCACACCTAAATTTTTCTTATTTCTTTAATTTAAGTTGGAAGCTTAGCTGGGTAGGGTCTTTCCCTGAGGCTACCACTCCCTTTAGCACTTGGCTTTTCTTGAATCTGTTATCTCCTTGAACACAGGAATTAAGAGGGTTAAATTTATGTTTTAAGTTTTGATTACTGTGCTTAAGGGATCTATAGAACAAAAATGCCTCTAACCTGGTAAACTCTACTCATCCAAGGAAAGATAAACCTGTAAACCTTACTTGCCAAAGGATACTCAATTTCCTGGAATTTGGGGCCTGTTCACATACAACAAGATACATGTTTTTACTTTTGTAAACAAGGTTGGTTGCCTCAACTACAAAGTGTAGGTGGAGTTTTTTCAGACCACCAGCTTACAAAAAAATGACACGGAGACTTATTATTAGTTATTAAAGCTTGGCCTTAGCTTGTCTCATTAGTTCTTATAACTTAAAGTCACCCATGCCTTTTTATCTGTTTTTTTTTTTTTTTTTTTTTTTTTTTTTTTTTTTTTACGTGACTCAGTTCCCTTTACTCTGTCCTGCCCATCCTACATCCTCAAAGTCTAGCTGGCAATTCCTCCTTTATTCTTCCCAGAGCTCTCTGTCCCTAGAAGTCCTACATAACCTCTTCCTGCCTAGCTAACGGCCATTCAGCTCTTTATTATACCAATCATCACACACAGTGTAAAGGAATATTCTGTAACAGCAAAGAATGTGCTTGATTACACGTAGGCAGGAACTACATCAGGGTGTATGCTTGCCCTGACTGTATGAATGGCCTTGTGGGTTTTGCCTTTATAAGCACCTGACAAACGAAATTTGCAGCTGTTCTCTGAGAATCCTGGCCAGTGTCCATCATCCTGGCCAATATTTAATAAAGCTCACTTCAAATTTGGCTAAAAATTGTGGTAGTGTTCTTATTCTTGCCCAGTGGGAATAATTATATTTCCTGGTACCCCATTTTCTCCTTAAATTGTGCATTTTGTATTTTTCCTTGCTCAGTCTGATGCTTTTCATTAGAAATCTGCATGGCCACTAATAACCAGGCAACGCTATCAATTCTAGGCTCTCTGGAAATCTCCTCTGTCAAAGCTGTTAATGGATAACTCTTCCGTATAACCTCAGGAAGATTTTTTTTGAATGTCATTCAAACTGTAGCTGTCATTGTATTGAAAAAGAAAAAGGTCTAAATGTTCTTACTTTTCTTATACAGACAAACCGACTTACAGTAGTGCAGTTGGACAATCTTTTACTTCATGAAGGTGTAAAATGATGATCCACAGGCAGCAGAAACCATACTTTGAATTTTGATCTTTTCCAGGGCTAGTGATATGCATTTCAATACTGCCTTGTGACAGTCACTGACAGCAAGCTGAGGAGAGCATGAAACTAAAGAACCAAAACCTTGGACAAAGTGTAGAGTGGAGAATTTGAAGCACTCAACCCTAAATGTAATGCCTTCATCAAGACTCAAGGAACTATGCAGAAAGGGAGGAAAACTTGTGAGAGCCAGAGGTGGTGGACAATGTCAAGAGAACAGTATCTTCGGACACAACAGGCCTGGTACATATAGGGACTCACAGAGACTTTGGCGGCATCCACAGAGCCTGCACAGGCACAGCCAGATGGGGTTCTAGCATTCGGAGCAGGAGCAGACACAGGAGCCCACTCTAACCAGACATAGTAACCACATGTCAGGGGTAGGCCAATACATAGGAATAGTTGGCCAATACACACACACACACACACACACACACACACGCACACGCTCACACACACACACACACACACACACACACACACACACACCAAAAACAAAATCTCAGTGGTATCTTTTTTTTTTTTAATCTCATTTTGCTTTGTTTGGACATCTCTCTCTTTTTCTGTCTTATCTGCTTGTTTATTTCAATTTTTATTTTTATAGGTTTTGTTTGTGTGTGTTTCTTGTTTTCTTTCCTATTTCTTTTAAAATTTTTTAATTTTTCTAAAGATAAAGAAAGAAAAAGAACATAAAGTTTGGTGTGTAGGAAAGGTCTGAGAAATGGAGGGAGGAGAAATACATGATTAAAGATCAAAATATACTCTTTGAAAGAAGCTTTTTTCCTCCCACCCTTTTTTTTTTTTTTTTTTTTTTTTTTTTTTTTGGACAGGGTTTCTCTTTGTAGCCTTGGCTGTATTGGAACTCCCTGTAGATCAGGCTGGCCTTAAACTCAGAGATCTGCCTGCCTCTGCCTCCTGAGTGCTGGGATTAAAGGCGTGTGTCACCACTGGCTGAAAGAAATTTAATAATAACAAAACAGTACTCTACAGTATTGTGTTATCAGGCTTCTTCTTTTGAGTATTGTGTTTTGTGCTTTCATATCCCATAACATTTACAAAATGCTAGATATTCAGCACTTTTATACAATAGTATTTTTAAAGGCAATTTTGCCTAACTTCAGGTTAAGTGTTCTGAGTACATTCAAAGTCAGCTAATGCCAGTGCAGTAGGTCAGTGGGCAAAGGCACGGTGGCTAGGCCCGAAGACCTGAGCTTGATCTCCAGTGCACCCACAGCGGAAGGAGAGCCCTGTCCCTTCATCTCCTCATTTACTCTGCGGCAAGTGCCCTGGCCCATGCTTATATGCAGACAAAATTTAAAAAGAAAAAGTGGTTATGCTAAATTGTGATGTTCAATATGTTACAGATATTAAACACACCTTCTGTTTACGGTATTTTCAACTCATAATGGGTTATGATGGAACCTTGTGTTGATAAACATCAGGAAGCAATCTACTTTGCAGAGAAATGACAAGGGCTTGCTGGCACTGATAGGATACAAATCAATGCTACGGTAAAAGTTAATCAAAAGTAGAGGTTTTCTAGGGAATGTGGCTGACAAAGTCAGCCCAGACAGACTATTCCAGAAGGTGGCTTGGGTGTCTGCGGGGCACACTTCATGGAAGAAACACTATCATTGGTGTTTGTATTATACTACACCACTTGTATTTTGCACTTGATTTCATCTTCTAGAAAACAAAAATGTAAAAACACTCTGATTCCTCCAGACAAGGTTTGTCCTAATGTCTTGCTGGCTACGGACCATATTACAGATTGAATTAATAGCAGCCGATTATGTGGCAGCTGAACATTTAATTAGTATTTGTATACACTCTTCAAAACTTTTGCACTAATGATTTCATGTAGCTCTCACAGCGACGTTGGGAAGCAGCTTGTTATTCTCACACTGAAAAGAAGGGAGTTGTAGGTTACGAAGCCCTGCACAAAAGCCTCCAGGAATGCAGCAGAGCAGCTGTGGGGCTCGCAGGTAGACGGAAAATGATAGTGCTATTTTTATCAGAAATTGCAATGCCTAAATGTTTCCTATAACTATGTAAAAAGCCCCTAGTTATCTTGTCAAACTTTGCTTGTAAAACATATTATTATAATAAAATGATAATTTATTCTTTATTTTGTATCTATTTTTTTTACGCACACACACATACACACACATGCATTTTGAGGGAGTTATAGAGAAATAATCCATTGCTACTAAGATTGATTGTGGGAGAATAATTTAAGACGGGTTATTTTTACAAAATAAATTTCCAGAGCCAAGTAAGTTCTACATTTTAATTTCCAGACATCTTCTCTCTCTCTCTCTCTCTCTCTCTCTCTCTCTCTCTCTCTCTCTCTCTCTCTCTCTCTCTCTCTCTCTCTTTGGTTTTTTGAGACAGTTTCTCTGTGTAGCTTCGGAGCTTGTCCTGGAAGTCACTCAGTAGACCAGGCTGGCCTTGAACTCATAGAGATCCACTTGCCTCTGCTGGGATTAAAGGCGCGCATCACCACGGCCTGGCAATTTCCATTCATCTTATGCAAAACCAAACACACAAATACATTACTCCACCAAGCTCCACAACAGAAAAAGAACTGTGCCTGGAGGAAAAGGGCCTGTGCGAGCCCTGATGAGGTCAGCAGTACAACGTCACTGGATTAGATTCATTCTTCATAGTTACAGTGATCTGAATCTGCGATGTGTTCCTTCACACAACCACTCTTCCAAACAGGTTTGCAGATGCTTTCTTCCCAAGGAAAGAAATCTGCATCAAATCTTGGTGACATGAGATTCTGCAGTCCCAGTTCCATAGACACTGAGGCTTCTCAGGTGCACCCTTGGTGCTCTCCATGCTGTAGTTTCTAGGATCAGCAGAAGCCTGGGGAACAAAACAACACTAAAGCAGAGAATGAAGGAGGGCAGTAAAGTCTATTTCCAGAATATTGGCCATAAAGATAAAACCACCCACTGTTGCAGTTGTGTGAGTGTCCTTTGTAGCAAGGTAAGGCACCTCTGAAATAACTGGAACACTAAAGAACTAGCCAGGGCCCAGTCCAGTAAAGACGATGCAAACTGACCCTAGACACGAGATGTGGCTAAGGGTAAGAGAGACACTATCTTTCTGACAACGAAGAAGGCTTTGCTCTTTACCTTGCTCATCAACAGATCACTTGTCCTGCAATGTGGCTTTGGCATAGCTCAGAGGTAGATTCAGACCAACAACTGGCCCCACAATGCTCATCCATGATGTGATGTAGTTGACATTTCTAGAAAAGAAGTGAGGCATAGGTAATAGAAATGCTGAGTCATAGTTTCGGATGGAGAAACAGAGAGTGGCCAAAAGGAAGAGAAATGAGGCCTTCCCCCACACTTGGGCTTGCTTGGCATCCCAGAATCCCTGTGTCAGTCACATGGTGTAAGCTAAGCTGGACTTGTGATCCTGAGTATAGGGATATCTCTCACCAAGGTAGCTGAAGGCAAGACAGAATTGGGCCTCTGATTCTTATTTGAATGTAAGCAGTTGTTGAGCTGGCTGAATCGGTAGCTAAAACAGTGGTGCTGGGCTAAAAATGCTGTATTCCAGTCCCAGGCCTACCCGGAACTAGCTGTGCGACGTCAGCAGACTCACCTAGCACCTCTGTGCTTCAGCTCTCCTGTCTGAGAACTAAGTAAAACAGTGGTATTCAGTTACTGGGGTGTCAGAAACTAAGTAAAGCAGTGGTATTCAGTTACTGGGGTGTCAGAAACTAAGTAAAGCAGTGGTATTCAGTTTCTAGGGTGTCAGAAAAGCCCAATGTGTTCATAGATCTAAAAATCAGGACACTTAGCACACGGCCAAAATCAATGTGTTCACCATTACCATTAGAAAGAATATTTCTTATTTTAGCCTGGCTTTTAGAGTCGCGTGAAAAGATTTATACTTTTAAAGTCAGAGTAGAGTACAATGTGTCTTGAAGGTGTTTCTTACCGATTGATTTTCTGCGAATTTTTCAGCACAGCAGTCATGAATTCATTTGTCTTGCAGGGATGTAGAACAAAAAATGGTTGCCCAAGTATTGGATGTTCCTGCAACAATTCAAGCTGTCACCGAACTACTTCAAAAAAGTTAATCTGCTTTTCTTTTTAATTGTTTAGAATTTGTACACCATTTCTCTCTCTCCCTCACCCTCCGTGTGTGCACACACACACACAGTACACATGCACGCATGCCTGTTTGCACACAAGCACATGTGTACATGCTCGCATGTAGCCATGTGGCTATCTGAGGATAACTTGCAGGAGTTGTTCCTCTCCTTTTGCCACTGGGGTCCTGGGCTTGACCCCCCATCATCAAGCTTGATTGCAAGTGCTTTTACCCACTGCGGTGGTTTGATTGAGAGTGGACCCCTTAGGGTCATATATTTGAATGCTTGTCCATCACACAGTGGCACTATTTGAGAAGGATTAGAGGGGTCAGATTAGGAGGTATGGCCTTGTGGAGGAAGTGTGTTACAAGGAGTGGGCTTTGAGGTTTGAAATCCTGCCAGCCACAAGTTCTCTCTTGGCCTGAGGATCAGGATGAGTTTCATCTATTGCATGCATGACACCATGCTCACCACCATAATGATTATGGACTAAACCTCTGAAACTGTAAGCAAGTTCCCAGTTAAATGCTTTCTTTTGTAAGAGTTTCATGGTGTCTCTTCACAGTGACTAATACATCTACTAAGCTATATCATCAGCTCTGTTCTTTTAAGATAAACATTGATCTTACATTCCAAGTCACTGATTAACATTCAGGTTGACTTTCTACTCTGAAACACAATTATAGTCCAAAAAATGCCAAAGGCCGTGAAAAGGAGCTATTCACTGATTTACTGTCAAACACAGTGGGGCACACATGCCACTTACACTCTATAAATTAGATGAATTTCTTTGGTTCTGCCTTGGTTAGCCATGTTTCTCTTTGGCTTATAATTATTCTTTAATTTTTCTCCAGTGATATACAGGAACACCAGTAACTTGACAACCAGAATGAAGCATTTCTCTTACCTCTTTGTTAGTAAAGGAACCAAAGCCATTTACATAAATATGTACACACACACACACACATACACACACACACACACACACTAGTTTTCCTGAAGGACTTCTTATTAACTCATGAACAACTGTTTCATTATATAGTTGAGGGTTTGTCTCTAAGAGGAGTATAGCCTACATTTTACAAGACCTCAAAAGAACAACCCGGGAGACTCATAGACACAGTTCAGTTCAGAGAACTGTTTTGAAAGGGAAACAATGGGATGAGAAGGGTTAAATTGGGGTAGGCATGGGCAAGCAGGGTAATGGAGGAACATGAGCAGGGATAAAACTAATACTAATGATCTTTGACAAAAACCATATGGAGACCTACTACTACAGAAACTTTATAATATTACATAATTATACACATATAAAAAGAGGTTTAATTGTGCTACCCTACAATGGGAGGGCAATACCCCAAACAGACATCCTATGCTAGCAAATACCCCAGTATCAGAAATGAATTGCCTGTTTTTGAGATGCTGTGCAATGGGGTGACACTGACTGCCAAACATTACAGACTATTGCCAGAATATTACAGAATACTCCTGGCTGTAACTTGATGGGAAGACCTCATTGCTGAAGACTCCATATGCTTTAGTCACAGAACATGGGGACACCAAACTGGTACTCACCTACAGGGCAGTGTTCATGGTGCTAGAAGGTGCTATGCATGCTGCCAGAAAAGAAATGTAAGCCTCAATCTCACCTAGATATGAATCCTGCCAACTACAACTACTGGTGCCATAGTGGCACACAGGTTATGGGATCAACCACTACTTCTGGTTGGCTCATACCTACTATATGGAATCCATACCTTGGATTATTAAAGGGGCCAAAAATCTGTAGCTAGATATATCCCAGGAGGAAACCCAATACTATTATTCTGCTAAATGCACATAGTTTTTAAAATGATTCTCATGACTTATTACAATACTGAATAGATCAGAACATTTTTAACTGTCAGCAGAAAAGCTTCTCCTTGCAGTAGATGGCAATTAACACAGACACTCCCAACCAATCAACATTTAGAGAACAAAATACTGTAGAGTGCTCAGCCATAAATCAGAAATCCGTATCACACCTCTCCCTCAGGATTCAGGGATCTTTGTTCAAAGAAGGAGCAGAAGGATTGTTAGAGTCAGAGGTGGTGGATAACATCAGGGTAACAGTGTTTTCCAGACCCTAGAGGGCAGATGCACATGAACTCGCAGTGGTTGTGACAGAGGCACACAACCAGCACAAGTTCCAGGTAGACAAATTCCAGCAGAGAGGGGAAGAGTACATATGTAATATCATTATAAGCTCAGGCTCCACGGCACGAAATAGCTACTGGAGGAAAGAGAGTCACTTAAATATGTGACCCTGATGGGCTGACCACACACTAGGAAAGGCGTCAGTCCCAAGACCAGCCGGGCAACACAAACTGGACTTGATGGGGAAAAAAGAAAAAAATAATTTCAAAGTTGGATGAGAAGGCCTGGGGGTGGTGATAAGGGGGAGGAGATGGGGGTAAAGATGATAAAAATACATTTGTGAAATTCTTTTTGTTGTTTTTGAGACAGGGTTTCTCTGTGTAGACCAGGCTGGCCTTGGACCCAGATATCACCTGCATCTGCCTCCTAAGTGCTGGAACTAAAGGCATGTGTCACAACACCTAGATCATTTATAAAATTCCTAAATAATTAATAAGAATATTGCAAAAAAGGGAAAGAAATAACCACGGGGGGGGGGGCGACAAACCTTCAACTGTGGCAAAATAAGCTAGCAACTCCTCTCCTCCCAAAGTAAGCACAAACCTGAGGAAACAGGTCAAGCATCAAGTCACACAGACTCTGTCTGGGGACTAGAAGCCAAAAACTGAAGGCAAATAAAAATTTTGGGAAGTATAATTTATGATTAAACTCAATGATTTCAGATCAGAAACAGAAGAAAGCTTGCTTAGAAACATCTCCTTTCCCCTGCACCAGCCCCTGGCTCCCCTCTCTGGTTCTAAGAGGTAGCAGCTGTGTTGCCAGTGGCTTGGATTTGATCTCTGTCCACTGTCCAGAAGCACTGTTGAGACAAATCTCAAATCAGACCTAAAGAAGGGGTGCCACAGCTCTGAGGCTGCACTTCTGGTTGAGGCGAGCAGCTGGTAAGGCACACATTTTTAGGGAGGGATCCTGGACAGGAGGCAGCTGCAGGAGGGAAGGAAGGCTCGCAGGCATCTCTGCTGATGGAACAACACAACGCAGGAGAGACCTAGGGCTGCCAGGAAGTGAGAGCCATGACCGGCTTGAACAGTGTCTGAAGTCAGAGTGGGTTTCACCTGCACCCTAGCTAGTGGCAAAAGAGGGAAGCTCTATGGGCTCGATGCGTTTGAACACAATCTCTATCAACCTGTAAAACTGTTCAGATACAGCTGGGCCACTCTGGGGAAGACAGGCTAAAAATTTTAAATGAGAATAAAAAGCCAGACACAGAGACAGACCATGTATATAACTTTACCTTTTTCGGAGACTGAGGAAGGAGGATCATGAGGCCCACCATTTCGGAGACTGAGGAAGGAGGATCATGAGGCCCACCAGTCTGAGAAGCACAGTGAGACCCTGTCTCAAAACAAACCAAAACCAAACTAGCAACGATGAAAACAACAGACATCTCGATGGATATAGGGGAGGCACATTCTGAAGATGAAACACAGAGAAGTTACTAAAACAAGCAGGGGCAACAGCAACAATAGCAAAAAGACAGCCCTCAGAGGAAGCAACAATAGCAAAAGACAGCCCTCAGAGGAAGCTATTAGAATCCTAGTTTGCTTTAATATTCTGTCCAAGTGTCAAGCTTTCAAAGAAATTTATGGCAATACATAAAGGAAACACATAGGGCAATGTATTCAAAAATAAAAATGGACTCTGGGTGGGCCAAATTGTTGGCTTTACCAAGAATTCATATTATACTGATAAAGATTTAAAGTATGTTTACAAATCCCAGGTAAAAGTCAGTGTAAATTCTGCACTCAGTGAAACACCAGACAGAGATGTAAATTCATCACCAGATGTGAGATGAGAGAAGAAAGAATCGGTGGATTTGAAGATGTGTTAAAAGAAATATTCGCACAGCAGCTGAGCAGGTCAGGAAAAGAGGCCATTACAGTCATCACAGTCTCCGAAAACCCAGAGGGGAATCAGAAACCAGGAGCAAAACATCCACTCAACAAAGACAAATCCAGAAATCAGTACCTAGACACAGAATCATCTGAACTCAGATGCTTAGATGTCAGTATAAAAACACAATCAACAACAGCCAGGGCAATATGTCTCCATTCTAGCCCAGTTATTCTACCTCAGCAGGCTCTGAGTATTCCAACATAGCTGAAGTAAAGGGAAAAAACCTTAAAATGAACTATATAAGGATGGTATAGTGGTCCTTAAAGAGGAAATGAATAAATTTCTTAAAGAAATACAAGAAAACACAAACCAACAGTTGAAGGAAATGACTGAAACTGTTCAAGATCTGAAAATGGATATAGAAGCAATAAAGAAAATAGAAGCTGGGAAAATTCTGGAAAGGAAAAGGTCAGACATTTGAACAGGAACTACAGAGACAAGCTTCACCAAAAGAATACAGGCGCTGTAAGAGAAAAGAAGATATGATAGAATAAAGGGATACAGCAGTCAAAGAAAACGTTAATACAAAAAACCCCTTAAACAATCAACACAAAACCCCAACTCCTGACACAAAGTCTCGAGAAAATCTGGGACACAATGAAAAGACCAAACCTAAGAATAATAGGAATAGAGGAAGAAGAAGTCCAGCTTAAAGTCCCAGAAAATTTCTTCAACAAAATCATTGAAGAAAAATTTCCTAACCTGAAGAAGGAGATGCCTATAAAGGTACAAGAAGCACACAGAAACACCAGACAGACTGGACTAGAAAATAAAGTATCCTTGCCACATAATAATCAAAACAACAAACATACAGAAGAAAGAAAGAATATTAAAAAGGCACAAAGGAAA